TTTTAAATAAAATTGTTCATAGCATTCTGCTTTTATTGTTTTCCCTCTTAATAATAAAATTTGTTCTTTCACAACATCGATTGCACAATGGACTCACACAAGAATTTCTATTCAAATCCGAAATATGATATTCACAATGCATTTGAAAAATATAGATCAAAGAATAGCGACGATATTGGCGTTTCTATTATAAAAAAAAGTAACAGCTTATATCAATTGAAACTGGAATTCTACACGGAATTCGAGACTTATTAGGATTAAAGTCACAAGTCACAGTTCCCGCTTAGTCTCGACTTTGAATCTTACCTTAAAAGTGCGCAGATAAGAAATGAATCTGTCACATAAGGCGTTTTACATACTTAATTGTAGCGTCAAGCGTCCAATTGAAGCTATATTAGCTGTGCTTACGCTTAACTTAAGACCTCGTGAGCTGCAAAATTAATAAAGGCGATTTGGAAAACTTTTGTGTAAGTAATTTCGATGTATACGTAGGTTTCGTTGTTAGAAGGCCCACGGTCATTGTCATCACGAAATATTATTATTGTATTCAGAAAATCGCCACCAGCTTGATGGTTAACCCAAATGATGCCATTCGATTCCGGGGATAAATTATATTTTAGCTTGGACATAGAATCTTTGACACCTTAAAAACTAATGATAGATGTAGAAATGTGTAGGTTTTTCTTGTTACTCGATATCCTATCTTTCTTGAGTACCATTTTTTTTTTGAAGTTATACTTCTTTAGGAAAAATTGATGAGAGTGAAATTTTACGATGCGCGCGCACCGTGACACAAAATTAACAGAATGAAGTTGCCCACGGAAGATGCTACGGCATTGGACATAATTTAAAAACAACATTCGAATAATAATAGAATTTATGATACACTTAATGTAAGAGAATAATAATAAATATTTATTTATTTAATTTTTTAATTGTAAGCTGAATTTTATTGACTATAATGACTCCCTTAATTAATGCCAAAGAAGTATAACTTCTTACCCTTTTTTTATAGGAACTTTAAAAGATCACCATTGAAGTTATAAAGTTTAATATGCACGATTGATTTTTAAGCCATTTAAATTCCGATTTCCATAATCCCTACTTAAATAATTTTCGGAGAATAATTCATAACAATTGACTGATAACCGCAACGTTACATAAAATTAAATTTTAACGGGCGTATATTATCTACGCTGCTTTTTAATAACATTCACTTCGGTTTCCATTTGATCGACACATTACAAATAGTGGAAATTATATTAATTAATAAACAAATTCGTAAGGGGTAAGGTGTTAATAAAGTGTGCGTTCCGTGGCTTGTGGGTTTTGGAAAGCCAAATCGTATTCGTATGTAATAAAGTGTATATTTCTTAAAATTAAACATAAAAATAATTCAATAAAAGAAATACTTATAACCACTTTACAGATGAGATGGCATCTCATGTACACAGGCCATACACAGACATCTTCTAGCCGCTTCCATTCTTTTCTGTCTCTGGTTTTCCTCATGTAATGAATGCCTACAAATTTTATATAATAATCACACAATAAATTGTACGACTCACATAGTACACAGATAAATGGTGGACTTTAACTATATGGAAAAGACCAAGAGGAAGAACGAGAAAAGGGCGCTCAAAAAAAAGTTGGTTAGTGTGGATATAGAAGCGTTAGCAGGAAGCGAATGGAGAAAGAAAGCCATGAATGTTTGGAAAAAGCTGGAAGAGACCCCGTGAAGGGTTTTCTATCAATGGTACTGAAGGATGTTAGGATATCGAGTAACAAAAAAAGCAATATAACAACAAAATAGAAAAAAAAAAATTAACAAACAGAAATTAACAAACGGCACAAATATAAGAGTCTTTCCTCCAACTTCAATTTTGTTCCCTTTGTAGTAGAGACTCTTGGGCCGTGGGGTTCAAGTGCACAGGCGCTTATTAAAGATTTAAGTTGGCGCCTGGTAGATAGTACCGGTGACCACAGAGCTGGCACTTTCCTGGCTCAAAGAATAAGTCTCGCAATACAGCGAGGAAATGCTGCCAGCGTTAAAGGTACACTGCCACAGGGACCAAACTTTTTAAATTTGTTTTGATTTTCTTCTTTAATTATTTTTATTATTACTTTATAGGTTAAGAAAATTGTTAATATACATAAAATAAACCTTTATATTTCTAAAAAAAAAAATATAACAACAATAACAAAACTAAACTGTAAATTTATCATTTGTAAAGATTGGATATAAACGGGCTTTATAATATATTGTACAATAAATTGTAATTATTTATTATATATTGTACAAAAACCAGTATAACACTAAATAGTAATACATATGCATTATTTGCCAACGTGGTAATTAAGTAGTAATATAAGATTTTTTAAAATATATTTATTATTTAGCTTATTTATGTCCGGGTAGTCAGGACGTAGTGCTTTTCATATCGAAAGCACCCATTTACTATTTTATTTATTTTTGCCGCCGGAGGAATGAAAAAATCAGTTCTATAAACTAATTAATTTAAATAAAACTTATAATTTAACTAGTGGACCCCACAGACGTTGTCCTGCATGATATTTAAAGCGATTAGGATATTAAGCAAAGTATGAAAGTACCGACTGCAGTGCCATCTGCCGGGCTGATTTGTGAATCTAAACCATTCCCAGATCCCCTTGAACACACACAAAAAATTTCATCAAAATCGGTCCAGTCGTTTGAGAGAAGTTCAGTGACATACACACTCACATAAGAATTATATATAATTTAATTATAAAGTGTGGTAGCTCAATATTGCGCACTTCTATTATACGTCTATTATCTAAATTTTAATTAATATATACTAAAGTGACCCTCGGTCTTCATTACGCCGAGTATACATAATTTGACACCTTTGAACCACTGATACTTAGTATATATAGAGCTATACATAACTGCTGTTTCGTGATATTGTTTGTGATGTAAAGTGTTTACGAGTTATACAAATTATTTGTGACACATTGTGTCTACTACGTCATGCTCGATAAGCTTATCGCCGTAAAACACTGTAGAGAATATGAAACTATGTTGGTTTATTTTAATACACCACATATCTTAGATATAATAAAACCCTAACTTATGTTACAACTACTGTATACATAACGTTAAATAATCCGTAATATTTTAAAAGTATTTAGATAGAATTTTAAAAAAAGAATTTGAATTTGAATGTTCAGATTTTTATTAGTTTACACAACGGTATTGTTCCTTACACGGTATTAACGCAAAGCTTTCACCAATTTCACTAACGATCTGTACAAAACAAACAAACCCATACATACGAGTACCTATGTTCCATTTTTACGTTTTTCAATGTAGGTACACTATTTTCGTAATTAAATCAGCAACCGATCCTAACCACACACTTATTAATAATAATTACTTTTAACTGTCAATTAATTACCTCAATCGCAATTCAATTAATGATTTACATGCAATTTGTTTGTGAATTATGAAATATGGTTTTCTGTATCGAGGCTATTGGATCCATTTACATCCATTCTACCATTATACATAGATTCCCCACTCCAGTTCCCGGTACCTTTGTGACTCTAATTGTGTATCTGTCTTTGAAACGCGACACCATATCCTACGCCTCTAATTACCGACCAACTAATGTAATTATACCATAGTGATATCGTTGATAGGTTAGTAATAAACTTGCAGCCATAATAAAATAGTATTTAAGAAATTTATTTAGATTAAGGCAATTTAAAAACATGGCTTCTTATGGCATGCCCCGTCGCGTGTTAAATGCAAAAACAGGAAGATACTAGTAATAAAAACAACTACCTTATTGTGATAATAATTTATGTAAAATGGAAACGTTATCTAATTATGACTTTATTTTGTTCCTGAACTAGTTCGAATCATATGTTAAGGGCTACATCGCACGCTCAGTGCTCTGTGCTAAGTGAAACGAAAATCTTAATATACTCATTAGTAAGTAGCTGACAGCTAGAGGGCAAGTCACTGAAGAATAAGTTATTGTGTCGTCTTAACAACAACTAGGTAGAAGTTCAAAGCATTATTACTCTGCTATTACTCATAAGTTGCTTTAATGCACACCACTTAGTAATTTCTTATATTATGACGTTTATATGATATGATTATACACGTTTTTTATTCATCAGTGATGTAATTTAATACAATTCCGAGTCATTCCATCACTAGCAACACATTTTCAATATTTGGATTATAATATTATTTTCCAGTCTGCTAAATCAGTGGTCCTTAATGGTGGCAAGCAAATGCCAGCAAAAACTGTCAGAACAAATAAATTTTAATTTATTACTACAATAAAATATATTCATATTTTATTTCACATATTCAATAATAATCTCATGTTACATTTTATTCATAAATTGAGCAATTAATACACTTAAAGCCTCATATCTTTCTTAATTTTTCTTTAAATTTAGGACATCTTTTTACATGTAATCGGCAATAATTATTATTTAACCATCTAACTAGCTGTTCCTGCCACGCTTCGCTATGGCACATTGTGATTGAATGGTTGAGAAATGAGAAACAAAACAAAGAAAACATTTCATATGTTTAATTTTGCAATACTTACGGAAATAAAAGGAATAAATAAAAAACGTAAAAAATAGTAGAAAACAACCCTTGATGCGGATTATATATCATGCTGAAATTGCAGCTCGATCGGTGCAGAACTTTTTGAGTTTTTAAAGCGTACACAAAACAACATAGCAAAATATATTTAGATTATTATTTTTCTTATCTATGAAAGTGTACATCCAGTTTATTATTTTTTATTAATTTTCTTCTATAGTGTGGTATCTGTTTCTTTACTAATAAATAATTGAAATAGCCAAACAACGTAAAAAGATTATATAAACAATAACTATCGCACTTACAAAAAACAAAAGAAAGCAGAAAATCGATTTGTTATTACCTTAAAACATAAAATATTTCTATGAAACATGGTTTTCTTTCTACCCAGGTCTACGGCGTCTGCAGAGTATTTTCAATTATATGCAGCCGGGATCGACGCCATTTCGTATTATCCAAGTGAGGCGAGTCGCAAAAGCAGAAGAAGTTATAGATTACCTTCTCAAGTTGGAGGCTGTTGATCGTTTGGATCCTACAAAACCTTCTGTTAAGAAATATGTTGTTCTGGATTCTTCTATAGATATAGCTAAAGAGACTGTTAGACAACATGCGAATTGTACCAATCTCGGAAGAACACCATTCCATTACTTGCTAAGCGCTTCTGTAAGTATTAAACCAGGTTTAATAATAATAATAAAGTAGAGCTACATCCCTATAATTTAGCCTCCGATTGCATTTGTTTATTTCATCATTTTATTTAATAAATAATTAGGGATTGAGCTTTTTGTCCCTGACTCATGTCAAGTTTTGAGTTATACTGGTTACTTTCACCGCAAAGAAAAATCCATTGGTGCACGACGGGATTTCAATGTTCGACCCCGCTTAGACAGCTTAAACCAACACTGTTCATTAAATAAAATTGAAATAAACCAGGTTTTTTAAATATACTAATAATGTAGATTGGAACTAACAAAGGCCAAGTGAACATCTTTTTGAACAAAAATGTTAATATAGCTGTAACTTTTTTCTTCAAAAAGACCAAAAATTGTATCCATACGTAATATATCAGGTGTCATTGCTACAAGTTATGTTTATTAAAAAAGCTACGTCTTGTAATAATTACTCCAGGCATTGTTCACATGGTATTATTGCGATAATTTTATACATTAATTACATCTGAAATTTGTTTATGAGTCTTTTTTGGATCACACCAAGTTTCGATTTTGAGCTTTACCCTGAGTGGGGCCCATTTGACAACATATTCTCCGGAATATATTTATTATAATTTTGAATAAGTCATTTGAATAATAATATAAATGGTACATACTATAAAAATATGTTGATTCTATAATGAAACATTGAAATGGACGCATTGCAAGGGACTTTAATTTTTTTATAAGTAATTATTATTTTTATATACCCTCGGAGACAACAGAACAAGTTTTAATATGTCATAACTGATAACTATATTAATTTAAAGTCTGCATTAATTTAAATCAGTAACGAGATTACTGTCATGTTTATTTAAATCACTTAGTACACTTAATTATCCGGACAACACGAAATTGTCTATATTCACATTTTATATATGTCTTACCAGAATCGTATTCCATTACCTCGTCACTTTGAAATTGGAATTTTCATTAACATGATTTATTTTTTTAAACAGGTAATGGATGAGCCTTGGAGTGAAAACGTCCACAATTTTGAAACTCTCGATATAACAGGATTCCGAGTTATCGATCATTCCAAGAAGAAAGTTAAGGATTTTTGGAAAATTGGAAATGGTCAACTCATGTATCGGTATGTGTTTTATATTTAATGAACCGCCCGGAGCTTGGAGAATATGAAACCTCTCCGATGGGCTTTTTCTGCACCTATTCACAAGAGTGAAAAAATGAATTCTATTAACAAATATTGAACTACTAAACTATTAAACTATTGTCCATATAGAATCGGGCAAAGGTGGTATTTTTTTAACGTATATATATATATATTATATCTTGACAGACACAGACAGACAGACTTTAAAATGGTAATACGTAAACGTGGCTGACTTTTTCTTGCACTTGCAGAAGATGAAAGATAAAATATATGTGAATTATTTGGTAATCAAACAAAAAACCCACGGAGATATTCAATATATAACTAATTCGGTAATTTGGTACTGTACTTAGAGATTACTCTAAGTAAGTTATATATTTTCCTTTCCTTTTGCCACTATAATTAAATGTTAATGTGTGTAACATTAAATTAGTAATTGTTTTATATTTTAGACGCATTTTTGCTTACATATTAGATATTTTAGAGAAAATTTAATAAAGGAGGAAAAATTAAAATCAGTTTTTCCGCACCGAGAGCGCATGTTCGTAATTGATAGAAAATTTAATAAAAGTTTAACAATATTTTTAAATACACGTAGCTCACGCCATTGAAGTTCACAACCTGAATGTCATGAATTCTATACCCCGTGAAATAATTTTTGTTTTCCGTAACCCCGAAATTTTGCGACTGTTTGATTTTTTGGAGACCAGGTCTACAAAAGTATTTTTTCTTTAATACACTGATCAACCTAAAACAAGCCAAAATCCAATGTAGAACATTCGCCACATGCGTCATCATCATCAATGCCTGTAAATCCCCTTATGGACCCTAGCGTCCGCATCGCTAACTATCGCGCTGCTTTGGTCCAACTTCGAAAACCTATTGTTTCGAGATCCTCGACAACTCCATACCACCAACACAGTCTCGGTCTACGGTTTTCTCTTGCCATCAAGTTGTGAGATCAGTAAGGACCTTGGGGTTCTGTCGCCGTATGTCTCCGCCATATGCGCTGATCACTTATTACAACAGGTTAAACTCTTCTTTATAATTAATGTGAAATACAAACTCGTCTGTCAGCTCATAGCTTTGAGCAGACTGATCATCGACTTTGATCAAAATTACTGGTGTTTTTTTTTTTTTTTTAAAGACAATTCACACCAATTTACCTAGTCCCATGTTAAGCTGGTGAAGCTTGTGTTATGGGTACTAGGCAACGGCTATACATACATATTATAGATAGATAGACATATAAATACATATTTAAACATCCAAGACCTAAGCACAACACCAAATGCTCATCACATCGATGTTCGTCTCAGCCGGGGATCGAACCCGGGACCCATGGATTCGCAGTCAGGGGTACTAACCACTAGACCAATGAGTCGTCAAATACTGTGACGTAAAATCTCATGTTCACGCAGGCGTCTTGGCCTGAGGGAGCAGATGCGATAATAAAGCCTACAAAAATGTCATACTATGTTCGTACATTGTATTGAGTGCGATTATATGATACGTGATTCCAATGTTACTACGAAATTGACAAAGTATTAAATTCGCGAACTCGTCGTCTCAATTGTATTTCTAATTTAGAATTAATTTATCCTTATGAGGCCTGTGTTTGACGTTGTATTTGCTACTGATTTTGACAAAACATCGCTTTGAGACATTTATATGAAAGACAGCGTTTTCAATTTGAAATGTATCAATGGAAATCAAATAGGTAAAGCCCTAAAAGAAAACAATCTTTGTCACCTCTACGCACTTGAAGTGTCACCTCCGTCATTCATAAAACACAAATCAGTTTTAATGTAAAACACATATGTTTTCTTTTATAACAATAAGAATAAAAGCCTTTATAGCTGCAATTACTTATTATACTAGTACAAAAAATTAGGGATACTTAAAAATTAACACTATAAATAAAAAATAAATACATACTAATAATTAATCGGCAAGCCGGTTGATTTCTGTTATACAGCTTGTCCTTGGACATATGCCTCCTCTAAGGGCTTCCACTCTTTGATTCTAGCTTTACGTAGCCACATAGGGTCAGCTACTCTTCGCACATCATCTTCCCATCTTTTTATTTGTCTTCCTCGTTTTCTTTTGTGAGGCGAGGAAGCCATTCCGTCACTTTCTTCGTCCATTTATCTTTATCTTCTCTCATGTGTCGTGTCCATTTCCTTTTCAAACTTTTACTAGAAGTAACAGCATTTCAAAACTTTGTCATGTCCTTAATTTCTTCTAGTTTTCTTTTACCACAGCGTAAATACAATTAAACAGAATCAATGAGACAGAAAGGGATGCACTACTGATTTAGTTTTATGAATGAAGGGTAGAATTTTCCCTTTACTTTTCTTTCAAAGAAGAAGTCTCTCAACATATTGTTGTAGGTCGAAGTTGGGTGCGACGAACTTGCGTTTGTCTGTGACTGGACAAACGGACCAATTTTGTTTACCAATCACAATAAAAAACGCGTTATCGTTTCGTCTATTACATGTGCGGCATGGAATAATTTCAGTAGATTACTTTAAAACTTCTGTCTGTTTGAACGAAAAAAATTCTTTTTCTAAGGCTGAGATTAATTAATATAAATACCTTGAAAAACTTATACTATTCTTGAATCAAAACAATACCGCGATTCAAGACTCCACAGGCGACATCTATTTGTTGAACATAAAACTATAATTATTTAAACACTGTTCTTAGATTAAGGCACGTACGCGTTTTAAGTGATGTCATATATTATATATGAATTCACAAATTTCAAACAAATATTTGATCTATGTATTTGAACAATACATTAAGTTGATCGTTTTGTTGATGTTAGACAAATAATATAATAAAATAATATTTTCGATTTGTAATAATCAATATAACATAAACTTTGTCATGAATAGTAATGTGATACTGAACAAAGCAATTAAGAGCAAACCTCCATTAGCTAAACTTATGTGTAACGTGATCATATCAGTGTTAATTATTCACTATACTCAAACGTTTTATGGATTATACATTAAGGGTTTATTATTTCATACTTTGAAAATATGAAACACATTCGCCATAAATTTAAAAGGACATAATTGTTTTAACCCTTTTTGGAGTGTTAAATATGTTTTGAACATCGTTTAATATAAGGTCATTGTGTTTCGGGTATATCTGTTAAGAAGTTAGTTATTTTTTTTATTTTTTATTATATTTTTACAACACCTAAACTGTTATTGAATTAACCATCGTATCGCAAATATCTTTAACAAATTAAGGATAACTAGATATGATATTTTTAAAATCTACCCTTTTTCATGGCTAAAGATAATTCTGCAGTTTTCTTGTTCATTTGTTTTCTGTTAATGTTGAGTAAAAAACGAGATAGAGTAATGTTTTAGTAAAACAGTGCGATCAGAGTGAATAAGTTTTTATGAAAGGGTTTTCAACAATACATGCCCAGTGATGAAGCTCTCTCTCTCTGTCTGTAGTTCTGCTATACCATTTACGCCCATTTGCGGCAAGTGCAGACTAGTCGTAGGTGGTACTCGTCATTCGTTTTTTAAAGAAACACTGTCAAATGCGCCTTCTATTAGAAACTCTATGGTTGTTGCATCTACGAGTGGGATTTTATACATAGAACGCAAAAGCTGAACTTTAGATGTCACAATTATTGTACTTTAATTTGAAACAAATTATTTCACAACTTATGTTATAAAATTTTTTCACTCTCACAAAGCAACGTTATTCATTAAGGCGTGCCTACGCTAGCCAACTGGCAATGTTAGTATCCATACACGGTTTCCATTTGAGTACCTGTTTGTTTTGATAAACGCTCAGAATTAAATATTTAAAATGACACGAAATATCATTAAAAATACCTTTTCTATTTCTTATCCATCTTCAGTATTCAACTGTTGGGTCTGATTATGCGTGAATAATAAAATAATTCTTATTTGTTCGTACATTTAGTGTTTAAGGTTCACACAGAACGTAAACCTAGCCTACCTATCCTTAGAACTGTAAAATGTTTATTAACGACTCATTGGTCTAGTGGTTAGTACCCCTGACTGCGAATCCATGGGTCCCGGGTTCGATCCCCGGCTGAGACGAACATCGATGTGATGAGCATTTGGTGTTGTGCTTAGGTCTTGGATGTTTATATATGTATTTATATGTCTATCTATCTATAATATGTATGTATAGCCGTTGCCTAGTACCCATAACACAAGCTTCATCAGCTTAGCATGGGACTAGGTCAATTGGTGTGAATTGTCTTTAAAAAAAAATTATAAAATTAACACTTCTAAAACTGTTTAAATAATTTTGTAGAATCAACCTAATTTCGATATACGATTATGTATAATTTATAAAATAACAATGGATAATTCGTTAGATGAGGATATAATTACATATTACAATAGTTATATTTGGGGACTATTTTAAGTAAATAATACCCACGATTTCCAGCTTTTCCAAAAGAAACGTCAACATCATGTACTCATAGTAAATGCACCTCACAGCCTTAATTTTTTTCAGCCGAAGGCGGCTATGGTGGTTGATTCACTTAACTTGGTACAAGAAGCAATTGTGCGTCTAGTACGCAAAAAACCAGAGTTTCTACGAGCATCCGCCCTCCGAAGCTTCCCGGCCAATGTCACCGAGATCAACGAGTGTAATATAGAGGAGGAAGGAATCATACCTTTTGAATTCGGCAAGAAATTGGCCAAAACTATAAGAAGGGTAAGTAAATAAATTTAGGTTTTTATATATTTTAGGTACGTATTACATAAAAGATATGTATAATGATGTTTTCCTATTTAAATCTAATAATTGCCGTTACATTTTATTTCCTTTTTTTAATGAATCTCATATCATCGTCATCATAAAAACAGTGCCTACTGTGATTTTAACCGGGGATTCCCCTTATTACTTAAATAAAGTATTATACAGGAAGGTAGGTGTCGGACCAGTCGAACCGCTAACTGGCCGGCCGACAAGCCCAAAGGGTGGTGAGATTTTGGTTACTCACTTAGAAATTTGATGGCACGATTCAGAATGTCACCGTGCTGTTTGTAGCCGCAGATTCTACAATATTAAGCAACTGCCTATGTATGATAATTGCGATTTATGAAAATTAATAAATTAGCGTAGAGGTTCGAAAGTTTTAAGATCTAGAACGTGAATCTATAACTTGTTAAATATAAGTAGCTATGTACTTGCAACTTCAATAGACATTCAAGACTGTTCAATGAATTTTATTTTCTACACAATTTAACTGGCAAATACAATTTTCACTACACTTGGAGCATACTCGTCAAATCTAGGGAATATTAGATAATACTAAATATAATAAAAATAAATCAATATAATTGCATCAATAACCAAAGGAGTCTGACTCTTCACTCATTTTTGACGATTTGGCCGAAAGAGACGAAGGATTAATTTAAAAAAAACATAAATAATGGGGAATCTATTTAGTGATTAATTTTACACAAATTTTCAAAGTTCATATCAGCAGCTTATTCACTAAATGAGCTTAAGTTATTAATACAGAAAATTTATATAATGTTACAAGCTTTTCTCAGCACAAATATTTCTATAGAACCTTAGGGAACAGTATGTAGTATATGTTATTTAAAAGGCATTCGAGCTACTTCACAAGGTACAGCTTGAGGGAATTCACTGTATGTTAATAATTTGCGATTTAATACTGCTCCAATAACAACAATATACCTACGTTTACTTTGATAGGATATGAAAAGTAATAAATAGATAAATAAATTCCTTTTAAAAAATATATAACAAAAATGCACTATAAAGTATTAATAAAAGAGCGTAACATTTCTAAATAGGCCGGGAACGCACTCGCGAACCCTCTGGCATTGAGAACGTCCATGGACGGCGGTATCACCTAACATCAGGTGAGCCTACTGCCCGTTGGCCTCCTGTTCTATAAAATAAATAGCAATGTTTAGTTTTTGTATTGACTTCTCATTACTAAGAGAATTATTACAATTTACAATTCAACACAAACATATTATATAATACTAATGAAAATCCTATTAGGCTACTTTGGGAATCCGAAATATTTAACACTTCGTTTACCGAAATCGGTCAAAGTCGAGGCTACTACTACTAGGTTTTAAGTAGGTTATTTAAAAAAACATATTAATTATTAAAACTTAGACAAACTTAATTTAAAATTCTACAAACAATCGACGTCGTCTAAGTCGGGTGCACTCTGAGCGTTATCTGTGCAGTGAATAGACAGTGTAACCAGGGGCTTAGACGTAATCACTTTTCAACAGGCGTCATCCACTAACGCAAAATGAATTTGTATGAAACTGGTAACATCCGACTAAGCGTGAAGTGACTGCAAAATGTCAAATTTAATACCTTTTTACGTATGGGATAGATACTTAGCGCCAAGTGACAAGGTGACTCAGAAATACCAATTTCCTTACGATGTTTTTCTTCATCGGACAATCAATAGGGCGCGCACATTACAGCCAAAATTGCATAGAAGGAGCTTGAACTCTCAATTCCAAGGTTGAGGTTTAAACACTAAGCAACTATTACTCTTTTTAACATGTCTAGGAAGGACAGAGTGAGATACGCGGGAAGCAGGCCCTACATCCCACAATATTCTTTAAATAAAATTAAAGGCCTCCTTCCAATTAATACGTTTCTCGTATTCAGTATTTTGTTCGCAGAAAACTTGAGTGCAGTCTAGGTGTGTCTTGGACGTCTTTAATACCTTTAACCAGACTTAATACTTGCGACTTACTATCGCATATTGCTTTGATTATTATTATTTTATTCAATTATTGTATCATATACCACCTTTGTCATATGCATGATGTGAGATGACGAAAAGGTCACAGATAACAACACAAACTTTAATGAAAAACATAGTTGTTAATTGTAAAAAATTGAAGGCAGGAATTTCATACTTTCAAATTGTGTCTGAATTTCATAAATGCGCTATCATTTTCAATTTTAAAATCTCATGCGTGTTTAAAATTGCTTCATAATTCATAAAGTGTTGGAGCTTTTTGTGAGGAATTTTAAAATATTCTCACAAGTCTTTAGACACTAAAGTTAGCACCTCACGTGGAACTGCAACTTAACAATAATCCAGCAATGTGTGTCACATAAAAGCCTCACGACTTTTGCCCTACTTTGCGATGCACACAATGAAACAGGGTACGGAGTAAACGTATTTTGTTACTATGAAATATTCTCTATCAGTTATTTTATTAGACTGCGCAAACCTACGTTTTTAGGTTAGTTTTCATAGTGAAATATGTTAACCTATGGTGGTTCAATGTGCGATTCTCGACACAAGGCAACATTCAGTCTGAGTAAATCTTCTGTATGTCAAAAATCCATTTTTTTTAATATTCAGGAGATATATTGAGCGCTTTGAATCTAAATTTCAGTTGCTTTTGTGGTATCGGAAGCACTTTTATGTATAATCATACAACGCCTATAATCAAGAGCATGTATAACACCGTGGACCGTGGGCTTTCTAAAATAGTTGCGTAGTAACTAAACATACTCAAAGCTAAATGGGCTATTTGAAAAATCATTTCCGATTATTTATTAGTGACTATAGAATCTTTACAAATTGGTATTATTAATAGAATTGGTATTGAAATTCAATAATTGAGAACTCGCCACAACGCTTCCTTAAAATCCCTTATATGAGTACGAACCATGCCTGTTAATTATCATTCTTAAATTACGCATAAACACATATTACTATGTGAAATTTTCCGATGAAACCCTTAGACCGTATAAGGGTTAGATATGCGAAGGCATTATTTAAAATCATGATATGTCGTCGATTCGACCGTCATGTGATTGACGTATGGATTTCTTATTAAGTAGATGATATTTTATGTTATGTACGCTTTTAAAAGCCATGTTTAAATTACTTTTAATGGCATTCACGAAGGAGACTAAGTGACTAAGTGAATCTCCCGTACGTCAGAAATATATTGGTTTTTGACGATAAGAGAGAAAGAGATGTTAATATCTGAATTTCACCCTTAATTTCTCATACTGTTGAATTGCATATTCTTAAAACACGATGCAAGTCTTACCTTCTCTAACATTATGCTTTTACTCATAAAGTATTAAGAAAAGAGTTTATTATAGATTCATAAAGTAGATCCCTTTATTCGTAGTCTTTATCTATACGCAGTTCCAACAATCACACTACTAGAGAAATATTTTTTTTTCTTGAAAAATCTCCAATTGTTTTATCACACACTGTATGAAGCTCTTAACGCTTTTCCGTATGGTGAGGAAAAATCATAATTGAAACAGGCAAAAATGTGAAGCCATATTCGGTTGCAATGCTTGGGGTATGACTATTTTAATTAAAATTTCATATGTATATTTTGATAATTAATTAAAAAACTGAATTGGCAGGAATGAAATTCTAAGGCTTTAAGCGGATTTTATTTGTTAAAAATGACACAAACGAGATATTTTCAACAAAACTCGGCTATAGGAATTTTTTCATAATAGTGAGGCATTTTAATAAAAATTTCTACCGTGTATTTAAATACACTGTCTTACTTTAATGCAGACGGCCAAAAAATCGTCGTAAAATATGTTCTTCATATAAATTTACTTTTAATAACTCCGTAGCAGATTAAAATATATGTAAAGTTTTGCTTATGCGAATGAATAACATCAATCCATAATGTTACAAAATGAGCTTGAGCGAATGCTTCGTTAACGTTCAAAACGAAAGTGACTTTCGCGTGGGAAAAATCACATTAGACGTAGCGAATTTTCAACGTTTTATTTCCCCTCGCAATATACATTATTTCTTCCAATAGCTTATTTTTCACTTGTAGGCTTTTAATATTCAAATGTTATACAGCGCATTATATAAGAAATTTCAAAGCAGTTTTACAATTGTTGTATTATTTTTCATTTATAAATTTTTAAACGCACGAAATCGTCAAATTTCTTATATAATAGAATAAACCTTTTCATTAGGCTACAACTGAATGTACCTTTTCATACTAATATCGCTGTACAATTAATTTACGTGTCAATAGATAAGTCACAATTTACTATAAGTTACTTATGCGTGTACATAAATTGATTTTCATATGAGATGAAAAGGTACAGATCAAACTAAAATTTTATTTAGTTTAAAATGCCAGTTCTAGTCCCTTAAAAATTACATTTGTATATAATGCGAACTATACTTTGAACGGAACATAAACCACAACATATACTTATCGCGAAATAGTATATTTCATTACAAGTGCGGAAAGCCTGTCATTGCAAAGAGTTTCGACAAATGTCTACCCGAGCCGAGGCGCAGCCGAAGGTGAGGGTTGACAGTCGGAACAAGTTGCAATGACGGTTCCGCACGTGTACTGAACAACTTTTTTTAATACAGTTGCGAAAAAATTATGCAATATAATAAAATAATAAAAAAACAATAAACTCAACTCACTAATCATTTATTTCTTATACAAATTATTGTTCACATATACATTGGTACAGTTTTATATACTAACTGGAGAAGTTTTAGGGTGCATATTTATTTACTGTTTGAGACAAACTATTATTTATTTCGTATGATTATTCTTGTATATTTAATATATAATATAACAAACAACAAAACGCGCAAAGAACATTTTTGGAAAATGGCGCCCACCGTAAAAGAATATAAGCAGATTATTTTTTTCTTCATCCATTCTGGGTAGGCAAAGGGAACTATGCCCATACAGCCAAGTCTTCAGTACAATTTTTTATTGATATGAAATGAAATTTAATGAGATGAAATGAAATCTAACCTAACTCATTGAATCAAATCATTAAATCTTATATTGAAACAAAGCAGTAGCTTCTTTTTAGAAATATTTGCATGAATCATAAAAATTTCTATGATTTTTTTTAGTAAAAACTTCGTGGTTGGTTTTTTCTTTTTAATAGACATTATTTTGACAGTTGGGAAAGAAAACGCACTAGTTCGGAAAAGGTAAAAAAAAGCACGAGTGTGTAATAGCCCACATCCCGAACGCTATACGTCCCTGCAATACGCCACTTTTTGAGCAACTGTATTAAAAATATCTTTTTAAATGAATATCTATTAGAAAAAGCATTGTTTGTTTTCTAAACAGAAACACGTTTAGAAGGTAAACATTTTACGTGGTGAGACCGTAATATATTTTTTACAATACAAAGTTGCTTTTTAATAAAATCACAAGCGATAGAATGTGGGTGAAGTTTATTGTTTCTGGTTCTGATTCAATACTGTCAAGATATTGCGACGCTTATTATAGCAATATAGATTGTGTGTTTGCGAGAACTCTTGACTGCGACAATTCTAATAAATCGTTGGCCAAGAGCGGTGTGTTTGTTTTAGACGGAGATAGATGGCCTAAGTGGTTTTATCAAATTTGACGAGGACGGCCGCCGTACCAACTTTACACTTCAGATTGTGGAAATGACTACTGGTTCTAAAGCTGAAACGGTATGGACTTTTTCACTTTCTTACCGTGACCATTTATAGTTCTCCAAAATTTCAACTCAAGCCACGAGATTGACGCATTCTTTGTGTATTTTAATCTGAATTAATTCATATACCTATAGTCTATACATGTAAATATAATATATGTATAAAACCCAGAACAATGAACAGCTAGATGTAAAAGGTTACGTATCAAAAATTGTCTAAAACCAAGATTTTTATAAAAACAAATTTATATTAGCAAGTGACTTGTGTCGCTAGCTTTCGGCTGTGTTTTGTTTTCTCAGCCAACGGTATCTACTGTTAAATTGATACGATCAAGGTGTATTTTATCGAGACTCCGTGAGATAAACACTCTAGATAAGAGGCTCTCGACGTGTGTGCAGCAGAAATATTTTTCTTGGAGCTGCTGGAGCAAATAGTATGAAACGAACTAAATATATTATTGCTACCACAATAGGCACATAGTGTAATATTTTAGATTTAGCTTAAAAGGTATTTTAGCAACATTTTTTTCACATTTCTAGGTTGCAAGATGGTACGACGATAAAGGTATAGAAAAACTGAACGAAGTTGGCTGGGTTGGTCCGTCTGAGCTAAAGACTTACATAATAATAGGTGTTCAAGAGAAGCCTTATATTATGCCGTTGGTTGATAATCGCTCTAAGAAAAAATGGAAAGGATTTTCTGTGGAACTTGCCGAAATGATTATGAAAAAATTGGGACTCAAATGTGAGTATAAGACAGCTCAGAAATTGAATCATAAATATCTAATTTTGCACACAGTTTGAATGCAGAGTATGAAAGTAATATACATAGTAATTTTCAAAACTTACATCCATCTCATTAAGCATTTATTGAAATGGTCCAGCGTTTTAAGTAAATATCCTTATAATATTTAAAACTTGATAATTACTTAACTTAATAGCTTTTAATTATTAGAATTACTGGCTAGTTTTGGTATAAAATGCCAAGCTTTTCGAAACAGGGGAAGGTTCATATTGAATAGTTACGTTAATTTACTGAGGTGGTAATTTACATATGAATATATTTCAGATGAACTTCGTTTGGTTAAAGATGGTAAATTTGGGCAGGAAAATCCAGAAGTCGCTGGTGGGTGGGATGGTATCATCGGGGAGTTGATAAGGAAGGTATGTCACTTTTCATAGCTTCCACTGTGCTGTCTTCCCTCGGTACCTGGATTTTTGCGAACAATTATTATAGATTGGTACTTATTGCTTATAAAGTAAAAAAATTCAAAGAACCTGGAACTTTTTACTTCCTAAACTTAACCTTTATTTGCCTTTTGACGACCGTGCAACACACAACCCACATAAAGCACTAAGTATCGACCGGTGCCATAATGATAAAGCCTACAATCACACAACTTACAAGAAACTCAAATCGTTAAATCTGCGATCCATTTTTACAGGAAGCGGATCTATCAATTTCATCTCTAACTGCAAATGTGCAGAGAGAGGCGGTGATTGAATTTAGTCGAACCTTCCTCTCATTCGAAACTGTGACTAAAGACGTACCACTACATTTGGATTCAATCTTCAGCTTTTTTCAGCCATTGTCTAAGGAGGTTTGGGTAAGTACAAATTGTCACACCCCCTTCCCCTTGTACAAACTAATAAACCTTAAGTAAACAAAGGAACTAGGACTATTTTTTATTTATATTTAAATCGAGTCGGTTATTTTTAAATTCGATTTTAAGGAGGAGGAAAGAGGTTTAATCCAATATATTAATATACTTTTTAAATTGTTTAGCCTATTGCAAACCTTGTAAAGTATTGCATTCGGATAATTGTAAAAAAATTCAAGATCTGAGCCCAAGAGAAAGTCTGTTAGCATAATTAAGTGTGTATTTATCTTGTACGTGTTTCCTTTCAAAAGTTTTATGGGGTCTATATAAAGTGTTATTCAAATGTAAACTAAAAGATATAAAACAATTAATAATGATCCCTTTATAGTTACTGGCCTCCACACGATGTTTACCTTCACCGTACAAGTGTTAATAGCGTTAAAAGAAAATCAGTTTGGGTGACATCCTGTTTCGCACTCAGTGCTAAAAATCTCTTTACCAATAGCCCAACAATTCCTTTCGTGTAGAATATTCAAAATTCTCAAACATTTTTAATGTCATTTAACCGAATTTTACTTGTCATAACAATCGTGATTAACGACGTCATTATGTTTACGAAGCTTCACCTACTTTCCTAACACTGTTTTGATTTTATTACTCTAGTTTAGGTATAATTAATTATATAGAAACAGTGTCTAGTGGTTAAGCGTGTAATAATAACACCCTAAGGATGTGCGTTCGAAGCTAGGCTATAAGAGATCTTTCGTTATATTTGTACTTTTAACACTTGTTCTAAACAAAAGAAAAAACATATGAATACACCCTTTAGAGTTCATACTCTCTGACCATCAAGCAGTAAAATAGGTAAATTATGTCTCTCAAACATATTAAATATCATTGATTAACGAATGAGAATTGCGATCAGCAGTATCTAGGCCAAATCTCCAAACAGAAATACCATACGACTGTTAAAACAGTTCTGAGATTTTGATCAAATACTGAAAGTAGTAATATTTTTCTCTTTATGCATATTAATTAAAAGGACACACTTTAAATTAAACCAGAGAAATAGAAATACAAATTCCACTCATCAAAGTACTTGAATGTCATCGTACTTTTAAGCAAAATATACGCGTTTAACTTTGTGTGAATTTAGATTATTTTGAATTTAAAGTCAAAGATATAAGGTTCCATAGCACCAACAATTTGAAATTCTTTTCAGTGTTCAATATTTGGAAGTATGCTGGCTGTAAGCTTTTCCCTGTATATTGTATCGAAATGTTCCTCTTCTAAATATGAGGTACAATTAAGTTCGAACGAAGATACTGAATCCTCAGGTGTCCAGGCGGTCCAGGTAACACTGTATAATGTAAATGCATATTTTTTATACTACTTCATCCGCCATGCATGTCAATAGGTTTAAGTTTGATTGATCCGTGAAGTATGTAACAGTTACATTATTAGACCAGTGCAGATAGCCTTTAAAAAAAATAAAAAGTGAAAAAAATAATAGTAGGATGAAACCTATTGGAAAGGGAGGAGAATATTATAAAAATTAAAGGAAAAATAATTTACGGGCGATCTGAGGTCGGGAAGGGGTAGGGGCGGGGGAGTTTTAAGGGTAAAAAACGGTTTATCTCGATTTCCGGCAAAACTAAAAGTCTTATGGAAAAAAGTCAAATTGCAAAGTTGAAGGTAATATAAAGATCTAAAACTTTTGTATTTATAAATTTTTCACAAAACCTCAAAATTTATGTGAAAAATTCAAAAAACCAAGTTGAAATCTCTACTTTCCTAAAATATATATATATTACCATAGTAAATCTTCTCAGAAAATTCAAAAAATCGTATGCAGTAACGCCCAGACCCGTCATCCCCTTCCCTACTTCTCTAGGTATATATATTTTTTTACCATAGGAAAGTAGAGATTTAAACGAACTGAAAGCACACCAACTTTTTAAAAAAAGCTGATATTTTGACAGGTGAATTTTCGATTGAAAATTAGGGTGTTTTTTCGATGTTAATCCAAAAAAAAATTTTTTGTAAAAGAATAAAAAACCAAAAAATTGTTTTTTTTAATTTTTCACATAAATTTTGAGGTTATGTGAAAAAAGTGTAAATACAAAAGTTTTAGATCTTTTTATTACCTACAACTTTGCAATTTAACTTTCTTCGATAGGACTTTTAGTTTTGCCAGAAATCGAGATAATCCGTTTTTTACACTTAAACCCCCCCCCCCTTCCCGACCTCAGATCGCCCGTAAATAATGTAGGTTTTATCCTACTATTATTTTATTAGGTTTCAAAAATTATCGACACTGGACTATTAAACCCAATCAACACTGAATTTTATTGGGTCTATCTAAAACTGCTAGGTCACGTTAAATTTTATGTTCCTACTCGTATAAGCAGTAACAATACTCGTAATGGATAAATATAATTTGTACAACAATTATTAATAAAATATTAAGTTAAAAGTCTCTGAATAAATAATTAAATATTCAATCCTGTAGTTAAAAAGTTGATCATTTTTATCGGTAGTCACTTATCTTTAAAGTACCTTTTAAAATGTGTGTGTGCCAGAGAGAATAATACGATTATTTCCACATATTTCACTCTCGAAGCCCTCTTATCAATAATTGTTTACTGCCATACAATACTTCTAGTAGCAAGGCTCTTCATAGTAAGAAAGTGCCTTCCAATATACAAACTGCTATCGCAAACATGGCATTACGTGGAATCATTCATAAAGTTACGAGGTAAGCTTGCTACACTCTCGAGCAGATTATTCGACTTCAACCGAGGTTAATGAAAAGTCGGAACATTGAAAGATAAATAAACGTTGTGTATATTTAGCGACTTTGACAGAAAGCAGGACTTTTATATACATAGTGTAAATATTCCAGCCGAACGTCAAGAACACATTTACATTATGGAATGCCATTTGGTTTTCTTTGGGCTCTTTTATGCAGCAGACTAGCGGCTATACACCGAGGTTAGTTCCACTATTTTATCAACTATAGACAGTTGTGTACATATATAAAACGTAATATAAATTAATAAGGTGTATAAATACCTTCATCAATTAGCAATCGAATGAAACAATATCAATTGACAATTTAACGAAATAATTGTCAAAGAATTAATGTAAAATTACCAGAAATACCTCGTGTATTATTTAATGTTGCATAAATTTCATTCAATTCTGTTTAAATAATATTAATATATTCTTTGTTGTTGCTATATTCTGTATGATTTAATAAAATAAATAGAGTCAGAATATTATGTCCAAGAACTGTCTGATTCACGTCGTCAGTGTTGGGAACCACACACTACGCTTTCATCGTTAAGTATTACAGATATTTTAAAATCATAAAACACCTTTGAAAAATTTAGTATGTTATTGAACAGTTATCATTAAAAATGTTTTATATAATTTTAAAATTCAGGTCCATCTCGGGAAGGATTGTTAGCGGTGTATGGTGGTTTTTCGCATTATTCGTAATGATAATGTACACGGCAAATTTGACCACACATCTGACTATATCCCAACTCAATCCGCCACTAAACACGATACACCGAGCGCACAAATGTCCTGCGGTAAGTCACATTTCATTTATAAAATCATATACCCTGCCATCTAGAAGAAATATGTTCTCAAAAAACATAATAAACTTACAATAGCACCCACTACAAATGTGATTTTTCAGGAAACCAACAAACCGTGTGATATGCTGATATCCGTAATGGAGACTGGACTACAAGATTTTGCGGTAGCCTTCCCTAAAGGATCACCCTTACGGTCAGTTATTTTCGGAACGAATGATATTACAATGCACATGTTATTGTCCATGTGAATACTCGTATTGAACGTGGACAAAACGTTAGTACCACGTTTTAATAACATCTACGCTCCGTTTAAGGCGTAGAACTACCAATTGAATCCATCACTATCCGTATATATTTTTACAAAGTAAAAATAAAAGCGCTTTTTCGGTAGTAACGTATCTATAATATCAATGTTCGGAACTAAATAAACATGTCATGGCGAATTGAATTATTTTATGACAACATTGCGCAATGCGATTGCAATATTTTACTGCTATGCGGTTTTAAGAGGCTTCGTGTGTATTTTTGTTTTCTGTTAATTTTTATTGAATGTGCCATTTTTAGGGAGGGTGTTAATTTGGCGCTTCTAAAATTAAGGAATGATGGTGAACTGCACAGGCTTATACGCAAATGGTTTATGCCGCTATCTTGCATAAATAAGGTAAGATTTTTAGTTAATTATGCGTTTTTTTAGACGAAGACTCGACATATTACTCTATTTTCGGTTATCTTATAACATATTTTATTCGTGAAACTCGGTAAACAGAATGTGTTTTTCATACAATAACTTGTTATCACACTGAAGAAAGGCCTCATAAAGCACACAAACACCTATTAGGTAAATTGTATTTCACTAGGGTATGTATTTCACAGCATATTTTTATTAATTACGAATTCATTACATGCATCTATTATATTATATTCACTTGATTTAATAAAACATGAATTTAAATGGCAACATTGTATATTTTTTAGGTAAAGAATTAAATTTTTTGATTAAATAAATTAAACACTTTAACAAAGAGACATCATTGGTTCAGACCCGTGTTTCCCAACCTTTTTAGTATCCACCCCCTATTCAACATACTAATTTTTAATTTTTTTATCTTTAAATAAAAGAAACATAAATGATAACTATCATATTTTTCCTTTTTAGGAAGAAATTACTGGGAAATTGTTAACGATACACAGGAAATAAAACATATACCTAATTAAAAACTTTTTCTAATTCTAAATAATTTAAATAAATTTTCGTGTAGCCCCACCTAAACAATGGAATTGCCCCCCTGTGGGGCCACGCCCCACGTTGGGAAACACTGGTTTGGACTGAATTTTGAAAGATTTTTATAATAAAATGATATACTCGTATATCAATGTAAAATAAAATTAGTAAAATTTTTAGTAATATAAACTTTACTTTCGTTAAAAACAAAAATACTGTGTCATATAAATGCACACATAGCTTTTTTGTTCAATAAGTGGGAGAACAGTGTTTTGTTAGTCGCCTTATCCATGAAAATTCAAGAGAAATATTCAAGTATGTTTATTGCTTACATTAAGCTTCTTACTTTACGTGCCTTCGAACAACGTAGGGGCGATTAATAGTGGCTGTATAATATATACTGTTTACACTACACACATATCGCTCACAGAGGAGGAATTCTGAACATATTTCGCGTATAAATTAAAAGTCTTAAGTAATTCCCGACATTTATCGAGCCATCATCAGCTCATTAGTACTGAAATGGTTGTTCGAAATGTAAATAATGAATTAAATACGCAAGCATCAAAACGCTCGAATAAATCATCACAAATTGTAGCTAACACTGGTCACGTCAGCTTCTTAACATTAAGACACCACATACACAAGACGCCAAACATATAATTCCATTCTTTTGGGTTAATTAAAATAAAAGTGTTTGTTACTAAAAAAATACGTGTGGCACTCGGGGATTGCCGCGGTAAAGCTATTGCATAGCATTTTGTATAAACTTATGCAGTATAATTATTTATTTATTTTTTGCAGTATTTTTTTCTTTGATATTAATTCAATCTACCACTCTACCAGACTCAGACTAACACGCCTATCCGATCAGGCTAAACCGATGTGAGACGCAGTATGCGTACTGTCCCGCTCTAACGCGTATTGGCCGCACCTATATCTATTACGTCATCGTGTGTTAGGATTATTTCGTTACGGAATTTCTTGATTCGGTCGCCACGCTCAAAGCCCGCGATAAAATCTATGCAATAGCTTGAAAAAATTAGTAATAGTTTGATGCTTGCTTGATGATGCCTATAGCCAGGCTAGTTGAGTAGTAGATTTTATATTTATACATGCCTTTTATCAAATCAAAATTGATTTAATCAATATAGCCTTTGAATGTCAGTGTTTAAAAAGGTACTCTTATACTACGACCTAATTTCCAATTAATGTTACGAATCCAGGGTAGTCGTTTTCTCGTTTTTTAATCGATGAAAGACATGATACACTATAGATCCAAATAGAAGCTATAAAAGTGTTTACTGCGATGATATAATAGTCGACTCTGCATACAGCACATTACATAAGATCCCATTTAACCCACTTGTGACGAATTAAGCATGACAACATATCTATTAATAATCTTATTTTTAAGTAACACAAAGAACATTTTTGATGTGAAACTTCTTTATAGACGTTGGAATGAAACTTCTTTATCGAATTATGGGAGAAATTTTGTAGCAAATCATCACCTTTTCCCTACCACGGTTGATCCGAAGAGATTCGAAGCCATTAATAACAAAAATATATAATAACGATAACAATGATAGTAATAATTCTATTACAATTAATGAAATTCTGTAATAACCTTAGTAGTAATAAGGTAAAATGAAATAATTGTATTTGTATTCATGTCAATTTCTGTAAAATTGCATATAGTAGATAATTTTTCGTAAAATAAGGTCATAAAGAAGTTTCACTTCTTACGTGTGTACACCTAGTACACGCAGACATTTTTATTTCTTGTTACAGAGTCATGGAAAGGAAATCTCCTTAAGCCAGATCGCCGGATTGTTCTTGATTCTGTTGGGCGGACTCGGACTGGGCCTGATAATCAGTTTTATCGAATATATCGTGCATCGTCGTAAAAAGCATGAGCAACCAATAAATCCCTCGCCACCTGGTACCCCAGTTAGGTCGCCCGATAGCCCCGTGATACGAAGTATTATGAAACCATCCACACATCGCTCTCAGAATGAACGAGAGACCATTGACTGGAATGCTGCTAACTACGCCGTGGTATGTCACTTTTCTTTATCTTCTTTGTCATGTAAGCAAAATTGTTGGGTTTATTGATTTATCATTGGTGAGTCAATCTTCTGTATATAGGTTTTAATTTGTTACCTATACACAAGGACAATCATTCGCGTCGGTTATGAATATTTTGATATATATATATGGCATTTCGGAAGTGTATTTAGGTTGTAATTTTACTTTGCTATCAACGCATTTCTGTTTCTATGATACATCCATTTGCATTCGGCCAAGTGCGTCTTAATTAAATTCGATTTAAACTTAAAACTTTCAGGCTAATTATTATTCCGATGTGTTTTTACTTTTTTTGAGATTAAACTATATTGTAACCATAAAATCAGTAATAGGTTGTTATTATAAATACGATTAAATTTTGTTATAAAACAGTAATATTGGCAATAAATAATATGAAGTGTTATAAACAATAACTTCTTCCGTTTTATACAGACCGAAAAAACAGATTTTCGTTTCATTCGCAATTCACTATAATATCCAAAACGTAGGTAGACATCCTGTATTCGATTAAGAATTCTCGTCGGTTTCGTGCATCGGCTATACGCTCAATACAATAGTTATAATTTGATTGGTCTTAGTATAGAAGTTTTTAATCAGTTCAACGTCCCGGTGGACAAAAAGACCGTGGCCAGCTTATGTTTCCACCACACTATTGTAAACTTCATGTTTTGGCTGTAGGCTGTAAGAATATAAAGTAGGCAAGAATTTCAGAACGACAAGATGGTGGTGACCGATAATACGAATTGCTCATGAAAAATATGATTTTGAAAGTCAAAGCAGACGTATATAAATAAACTTTTAACAAGGCACTTTTGATTCTTACGTTCTTTAGCCAATGAGGATTTGTATAACGAAGGAAAACATCGATATATTATAATAATAATATGGTATTTTAGAATAAAAAAATCCACGATTTTCTGAAGAATTATGTCTGGCAATTGACGGAGTCGATATATATCAGGGTCATACGTTTACGTGTAATGGCATATTAATTATTATAAACCATATACTATGAAAGAACTCTTCTGATTCTGTGGATCTCTTTACTAAATGACTCCGTTATCTAGAGAAGGATTAAGTTTATGTTACTCTTAAAATAATCTACGCAATAGACATCTATACTAATTAATAAAAGGTGCGAAGGTCATGAAATGTTTAATTCCCAAACAGTATTTTATTAAGCTTGTTTAAAACAGTAATTACTAAGTTTCTGACGGCTCGTTTCGGAGAACTTTTAAAACAAACTTTAAATATCAATAGAGGGAGGATTCTTGATCCTGTTTATTCAAAAAATTAATTTAGCGGCCAAATGCCGCTCCGAACAGTTTGAAGCCCGTAACATAGCAACGTTAAATTTGAAAATGGTGATTTGTGTCTTCTGCATTTACTAACTAGATACAATTGTTTCGGCCGTAATTGATTCCGGGAGCTTCGGCGCATTTTCTACACTACTTGATTATTACGAAATTCGATTTATTTCGTACGTATGTGTAGAATTCGATCACCGGATCAGCAAAAATTGTTTATAATTAATTTGATTTTAGTATATAATAATTCATAGATTTACAAAATACATACTTTCCTTTTTAAAATAGAAGTGAAACAATATAAAAGAATCATATACAAAACTCACGAAATATTATTTTAAATTCATATAAATAGCAAAATTTATCGTGAATAAAATAGATATGATCCGAAATTTACATTTCCTACCAGTTCTCAAATGAAAGGCGTGGTACGGTCGACATGAACTTTGTGAGATACGCAAGTTACGTTAACGCTGTATCTATTCAAATTCTAAACATGAATATAACTAGAGATCGAACATAAAGGGAAGGCTTGCCATCATGTTGCTTTACTGTCTAGGGACTCTAGGCTATCGGCCTAATTAAATTTCAAATACGTCAAATAAGCTTCAGCTAGCAGTTAGCTAACAACTATGTCACAGCCAACTCATAGACATTCGGTATATCCGAACCAATTCGACTTAGGGTCCTTCAAGATAAGAGCGTACCAATTCGTAAGAGACCAGTAACTCCATTGCGGTATCACTTAACTTCAGGTAAGCCTGCCCGTTTGCACCTGAAAAAAAACTTTATTGCATTTTTATTGGTTATATGGAAGTTATTGTAATAATGTAATCATTACATACAACAAGCCAACACAGGGAATTCAATCTCGAGTCGAGATCGTTAATTCGTGGTCTTATGGGATAAAGAGCAATATCTACAATATCGCGAGATCTCGGTATTTTCGAGATTTCGGAATCCTAGATATTTTTAGGAGTGATTTTGGAAATAAAAGGGTATAATCGTTGAGGATGTAATCGTTTGATTATTTTTTTTCCGTACGATAGAAATATTTTCTAGGCAAATGGCAAATTACGTCGCCTTGGAACTGTTCCAAGTCATCTTTATAATTACAGGATTAATCATGATAATCATCTTTTTTTATGGCTCTGGCACGGTTTGTGCATTAGTGCACCAGCGTCAAGTATAAGATTTTAATAATTCGTGCTTTTTGCCTTAGAAATTCGACCATGTCCTCCATGCACGGTTTAGGCACTCGCCTGGTACCGCACAACCCTCCCAAAGGCCGAGAACAAATTTAAATTAAATTGAAACTTGCCCTCGAACATAATCATCTTTATAATACAATTTTCAAATATAAAAACCCTGCGGTTGCATATATTCGTCGCTCAGAGATACGCTTGTACATCAAAGAGATAATTTTTTCTGATACTAGAGCCACTTAATCTGGTTAATACTACGAGATCTCTTCGGGATTAATCTCGATTGCAGGCCCTACCAACAACCAATATCGAGTTATTTCTAAGAAGTTTGAAGTTAAATCGAGTATATTTAAAATTGCATATGGAATGCTATTGAAAGAGTATGTAATTTGTTTGCGTATCTAAAGTATATGGAGCATAATCGAATAATAATGTACATAAATGATCTTTGTAATAAACACAAACACACCAGAATTTCCCACCACCTTTTCCATACTCCACTGCTTTGTTTGTTGTATACAATAACAGTCTATCTGTTAACAGTACGGATCACCAAGCGACCATGAATACCGAGAGGAGACTCCGACGCATGAAACCTTCAGGCAGGTCTGATACTCACCGCCAGGCTCGAGCCGTATGCTTCGGGCCTCCCAGCGAAAACTCTCCGACTCCATAGAACTTTACCAACTGTAAATGCATGGATACGACCAACGACGACGACTTCTTGGAGTATTACGGTACGACCGACTGGGCATATATTAAACCAACTGTCGTCCTTAGGAAAACATCCATTGTGTATACAAGAGTAACCAACTTGATAGTTCTAATTTTAATGGGCTATAACGTCATAATTTTTCGGTAAATAAACTCGGGTCGTGTAAAGAGTTATGAAAAATCATGGGTCGTCGGCGAGAGAAATGGAACAAAAGCTACTTAGTATGCCATTGGCAGATGCTCAGAGCTTTCTATACATTTTACTTTGCAGCTCACGGTTTCCTGTCGTAGATGTTTTACTAAATGCGAAAGTTAATAAACAATATTTTCGTAATGAGTTTTTGAAAATGGTCATGAGGTTGTATCAATTGTTCACTGATCATCGAAATATTTGGCTGTTTACATTCAAATCAGTTTTTAATTATATTTTTTTTAATTTAAACTAATCCGTTATTTGATAACGTATAGTAAAACGAAAATTAATTTAATTATATTTATAACATTTACAATATAATACGTGAATTTCAAATTTCCATTTGTACATTTTACAGTGTATAAAGTTCTGTATGAATGATTTTTGATAACTTGCAAACGTGTTATTCGAATGTGAAATTAATTAAAATTGCATTGCTTTATCGAAATACATCACAAATTATTTGACTTGCCAAAAGGCACAAAATAAACATTAAACATGTTTCATATTTCTGTAAATATCATTTCCATTATAAGTACTATATATAAGTACTACGAATAAAAATCTTGCGGAGATCACGGATCGGCTAATTCTCTCCACTCCTCGTCTTTTAAACGATTGACTTAACCTTTGAAAATAAGGGTTTTCATCTTATTAGAGATGGTAATTTTAATCTTATTACATACAGAATTAAATGTCGTAGAGATAAAAGTAATTTTTAATGTTTCATAATATTCGTTGTAAATTATTGTGAATCCAATGTTGCTTCAAAGACTGTCTTGAAATATGTTTCCTATCCCTTGCTCATATAGAATTACTTGGAAAATATATAAAGGCATGAACTTATTATAATTAATGTTAACATTAGATCTCCTTTAATTCGGATCTCATCAGTAGATGAGTATCAGGGTCTTTAAGATAATTGTAGAATTAATATTTAGCACATACATTCGGAAAGGCCAGTCCGCGTACAAACAAAAATTAACTACATGCCATAGAAACTTCACGGTGTTGTACGACTAGGAGAACAGATGCATTGAAATCTGACCTAAGTAAATATCCAAAATCAACAATTAATAAAACAATAATTTATTGCATTGAGGCATGTAGGTGTTTCCTAATATCAGTAACGCTAATATCAACAAAATACAATCTTGTGCTGAATGGTAAAAAAGGACTAATCTTCGTAATTTTTCTACAATTAAACATTGCTGTATTTCTAATGAATTTAATACCTTATATATCGCCGTAAAATACATGAATTTGTTAGTAGTGAGTGAATACTAGTTAGTAAATTATAGCTAAAATGGCTTAGAATTTATGTGCATATTTCGTTCATGTCACTTCAAATAGTGCATGATTTTTATAGGTGTATTCTTAGTTAAGTGTTTGACAGGGCTTATAAAAAAGTAGGTTTAATGCATATTTAAATGTGAATTGTAATATTCATAGGATAGAAGTAGTAGTATAAGTCTACAACTACTTTTATTGTTTATAGATTTCAATAGTTTCGACCAGAAAATATTATTTTACAATGTAAGTATGAGTTTTGTCGTCTGCGTTAATACAACAAGCAATCGCTTATTTTGTGAGTTTGTAGAACATTAAGACTTAATAACATTCTAACTGATGAGTTCCTTTGCTAGTAATAGCTATATTCTCTTTCAGTGATATAGGTAGCTGGGACATATTCGATTGCGATTAAAATCTTCTCGTTTCTATTTAAAAAATTAGAATTCAGAAAAATGTATTAGTTTATTTATTGCGAAAGCAATAGAGGGTTTATTTATTAAAATAATTAGGTTAGGTAAAAGTTTTCTATTAACTTAAAACTGCGACTTTTAATCTTTTCTATCTGAAAAATGCTTTTTATAACATTGTGCTCATAACGTGAAATAATCATATTATATTGACACAAACGAAAAAAAAATCTAAAGTTTACTAATATTTTGAAATTCGAATTTTATTTTGCAAACATTCATTCAATAACGTTGTAACTCATGCTTACTTTAATTTCAAGTATAAAATTATGTGATCATATCAATTGTATCAAAATGATGTTTGTAAAATATAGGTAGTCCTCTTAAGCCTATATGAAAATTTCATACTTTAGGATATTATGTAATGCCTAAGGCGAAAAAGAAACCATATCAAGGATGTAAGACGAATTTGTTAAATTTACTTTCCGTATCTTCCGTCCCAGGATAATTTGATTGATTTAAGTATGAAATGTCAATGCATTTGGATATATTAGCTTATTAAAAAAATGAGTTTAAGATTTCTTTAGCTATAATTGTAAAAATACGGGTAATACTTTTTTTAGATTATTTAAAAGGTCACTTTAGATGAAATGTAAAATAAAATGTTTGGATGGTAACGTCCGTCCGAAAAAGTTGGGTAAAGGCTGAACATTGTATGGTAAGTTTATAGACTAAACGAAAAGGAAGACATCCCGTATTTTGATGCAAGGTAATTTCAACCTTACTGATATAAGTATACTTAGTAATGAAGGTCTGTATAAGTCGGCGAAATGTTACGAAAAGTTTAAAAAATCTGTCGTGATTATCAAAAACCTTTTAATAATTGTAAACCCTAGCTATTAAGTATGATGATTTTAACTCCTTGTCGCTGTCATTGAAATAAGAACCTCAGGTCGATAAATGTTTGTTTTATATGGAATGGTGACCGATAAACGCCACAGTCTTCGTCACTTCGTTAAATTTCTTGGCTTGTATGAATTGCAATCTGTTTCTGTATTTCAAATATTAACTTAAAGATTAAAAAATGGGGTAATTCGAGCCTAGTACGCTGCTTAAGAACAACCCTTTAGAAACGTACTATAGGCTGCAATTAGTCAAACAAATACTTATTATATTGTTTGGCTTAACAAAACACTTAAAAAAACATTTGTTAACTAATTTAGGCTTGTAGTACGTTAACTAAGACACTATAAAGTTACCAAGTAACAAATATGTGTATCTGCTATTGAATCTATCTAATTCTTTTCCCTTAATCTATTTGTTATTACTCAAAATATTTAGAATAAAACTGAATACGAAGGAATACCGGTATGTATTTGAATAAACCTTTAAGACATCTGTAAGAAAAATATGATGTTTCAAAATTGAAAGAAAATATGGAATAATGTTTTCCTTTGGATATTCCTTCTGTAATTCGTATTCTAATTTGGTGTCTAATATATGTGTCTAATGCAACTGTATAGATATAAGACATGTATTCAAATAATGGAAATAAGTGTTGAAAATAAATAAAAATCAATAATAGTTGTTTTCATTAAGATCCACTGGACCAAAGTAATTGAGATTTCATTTTTGTATATCAAATGTATGACAATTCGAGCTAAGCTCCGATCCCGAATCTCACATAGGGCTACACGATCTTCAAGTGAAACAATAACGATAATTATCTAGTAACGTCCCAAGGTAAAAATTTGTGATACTTAACATTGACATTTTAGCCGCTATTAATCGCTTAACTTGAAGATGGTGAAGTAGCTTGCTCATAAGAAATTAATTAGTCTAATTAAAAAAGCTCACTTAAACGTGAAAGTGACTCAGCTCAGGGCACGCTTCAGAAAAAGTTATTTGTTAAAGTAAACCGACTTCAAATGATAAATAAATTTGACGCGTACCCGATAAATCTAAAAGTACCTAACCTAATTTCAAGATTTAAATCAACACGAAGATTATCAAATTCCAACAAAACACTCTGGTCAAACAAAATACATCTGTCTTAAACGCCTTAGAAGCAGTTTTGCCGATTTTACTCCCATCATTTTATTTTACACATATTATTATCAGCAAATAATTGCGTAGTTTTACTGTGGTAGGCTTGTCATCATTGCCCATCTAGCCCTATTTATCTATTCCAGTACCTAGGAATACCCTAGGAGGTGCATTACCAGGGTGCCGGATAACATAAAAAAACTTGTGTCTGTACGTACACGCGTTAGAAGTTATACTTCTTTTGCGTAACAAGATAACTTTTTAAATTTTTTATCTTTACACTAACAATAGAAAAAAGGTATTTAATACAATGAAAGTTTTATTATAAAGCATTATCTAGTTAAATCATAGTTACAACTATTTCTACATAATTAAAGAAATGGATATTTTTAATTTTAAAATGTTGACTATGCTAACTTCAGAGTGTCGGTTTTATGTGACGGTGTGCGCGCGCATCGTATTTATTTACTCTCATTATTTTTCCTAACGCGCCATAACTGTATAACTTTAAAAAACAAATGAGCTCGACGTACAGACACGAGCTGTAACGCATGATCGGCTCTGCGCTTCGAGAGCAAACAACGTCTGTGGTGAGAGAACGTTGAGGTATTTGCTACTGCGGCTAATCAATGATAGTTACTGACTGTAGGTCAGTTATTTACGTTTGGCAACATAAAAAAGAAGTTGAAGAATTATTTTTATATGCATTTGTCGCATTCTTAACTGTTGCTGTTATTGTTACTTAACAAACCACAATGTTTTTCAAAAATACTATGATTTAGATTGTATTATTCTGTAAAATAAATAATTATAAAAAATCGTACCCCCTTTTCAAGAAAAGACTATCGATCATAAAATACCTCCAAAATAACGACATATCGAAGTGATTACTGCAGGTGGTCAAAAGCATTTAACATTGCAGTTATGGTTGTAGAAAGCGAGTGAATTTTTGTATGCTCCAATGGCGTGTATCGTTTATCGTGTCTTCTGATCTGTATACATCTACTATTGCAATTAAACAGG